ATAACTGAAATAATGGATCGTTGTGGCGAGGCGCCGGATGTATTATGTTTTTCAGAGACATTCATTAATAAAGGTAATGAAAATAATCTTGTATTTACGAACTTTAAATTGGCAGCAAACTATTCGCGGAATAAAAAACGAGGCGGTACATGCATTTTACTTCGAAAAGACCTAGTTTTTAAAAAGAAACAGAAATAAAAGCCCATATATCGAGCCTAAACAATATGAAACAGCATATAAGAAGAGTGCATGAGTCTCAATACTTGCTATTTGAAGAAACTTATAAAGGAGGATCGAACCGGGGTAAGCCAAAAAGAAAAAATGCTCATTACTCACAACAAATTACAACATACTAATTTTCATGAAGGGGAATATCCACATTGTGCCAGGTGGTTAAATTACACACTTATTTTTTATATATTAATACACTGTCTTTTTTTGAACCTAACCTCCAGAACCCAATACCACAGTTTTTGTTAGCAGATCACTAAAGCAACAATATCAATAATGCAATTTTTTATCACTTGTTAACGGATTAACGTTGACTTGCGTTAAATCTTCCGAAATGTAGCGTTTTGACGTTTAACGAAATTATTTTTTTGATTAACGGTGCCCTCTATGGTACTAACAACTTCCGAATCTTACAGTAAAAGATATTACAATCCATAATAAGTAATATACTACGTGTGGATCTACATAGGTTTACTAATTGTTCTGTAAAGCTGTAGCTACAAAAAACATAAAAGAAATTGAATTGAGTTTAGGATATTTTCCAAAACTATTTTAAGATCCTTCTATTTAGAGATTTGCTATTTCGCTTAGTTACTATTACGTACAATAATCTTACTAATGGTACTGTATTTTTTTATTTTCTCTTTGACTTGGTATTTACGACCACGAACGTAAGTGCTACAAAGCTACGAGCTCTGAAATTAATATTGTCGAACCCCTGTCGTCTAACGCAAGTTTCTACTTTTTTCTATATCCTGAGTAAACACAGTTCTTACTTCACATTATTTTAAGCCAAACCTACTATATATCTGCAAAATTGAATATAAGAATAATTCTTTTTCAATGAATCGTGATGGAAAAAACTGAATTGGAAAACGGTCTTAAACGTAGAAAGGCTGACAGTATAAGCCATTTTAGTCTTCATAGTTATGGTATTTTATTTTACTCAAGCCAAACCTCATTATTTATACTATAAAATCAGAAATGGTAATAACAAAAAGCAGTATTTTTTTTTAATCTTACAATTTATTTATATCACATAAATATTATAATACAACTTATCAATACCGAAATTATAACAATGAATTATGCACTGTGAACAATATAAAAATTACAACAAAATAACTATGTTTAAATATACATTGCACAAATAAAAAACAACCTTATTCTTAAACTACTGTTAAAAACATACAATTGAAAGGCTAGACTTTCACTGTTAATGTGTAACGTTAATCCGATTCCTCTGGTAGGTCAAAGTTCACGCGTCTAATTTTTGTGATGATGATGAACGTGCCACGGCTGTGCCTGCGCGGAGTAGAGCCTAGTGGCGGCGCGGGCGGGCGATCGCCTTGTGAAGCCGGCGAGATGGGGCTGTATGCTGGGGCGCGGGGTGACGCCGGTGAGATAGGGCTGTATGCTGGGGCGCGGGGTGACGCCGGTGAGATAGGGCTGTATGCTGGGGCGCAGGGTGACGCCGGTGAGATAGGGCTGTACGCTGGGGCCTTTGGTGACGCCAGTGAGATGGGGTTGTATGCTGGGGCGCTGGGTGACGCCGGCAAAATGGGGCTGTATGCTGGGACAGGCAGCACGGACACGCACAAATTCTGCGGGTCACCAAACACGAACACATCTGAGAAAACAAATGCAAAGCAATCATTAGCTGAGAAAACAAAATCAAAACGATATCGCGAAACAAACAGAGCAAGAAATTAAACGAAAATACATATTTAAAAAGAGACTTCTTTTATTAAGTTAACAATCCTATAATACCAAGGATAAGTAAACTAACTTTTTTATTGTAACCTTTGATCTTCAGTATTGTACTTCACAATATTGCAATCATAAAGTCACCATTGGAACAATACGTAGTACTTATTTAAAGTTCAAAAATTCGCAAACACATAAGGGGAGACGCTCACCATCATTATCGACTTCGGGAACAATATCAACAAAACTTCCTTCTTCGAATTTCATTTTCAGTAGTAACTCAAAACTGACGAATTCTGAATTGTAAAATCAGAGTACCTTATTCGGTAAAGTACAAGCAAAGACTGATGGGACATTGCAATTTCAATTGCCTTAAATAGGAGCCTTCTATTTGTCTAAGTTATTACACTTTGGAATTCTTTTACCGACGGTGTCATTAAAACAGAAAGGGTTACTCTCGTTTCTATTAAAATAAAACAATGTAAGTTTTTAATGAGGTAATTAACGATCTATTATTGTCAAATGTTTTATTGGTTAAATTGTTTTTTTTTTCAAGTTTGCCATAATGGTTCCATTGTTCAAAGTAACAGTAGACAACCTCGTTAACCAAATTTCTTTTTTGCGAGTATTTAAACATGATCGCATTCTAAGATCTACAGGGCGTCCCACGGCTATCTCACACGGAGGGAAAGTATATTAAATATTGAAGATAGGATATTTTACTGAAAGAAGACATCATTTTATTTTTAATAAGAACAAAAACTGTATTCACAGTTTTTTTAAAAATCGCCTGTTACAACTGGAAATCAAACTCGTAAAATTTCGAAAAAAAACGACATATTTGATGATAACCATCGAAAGGGTTAATCATAATAATTATGTTTTGCTAAATAACATAGCATTTTAAATGAAAGGAATGTCTTATTATGTGATAAAAATAATAAAGTGATATACAAATTGTAGTACGTATGCATTGCTTTTTGAATTCAGTTACAATGCGATTGGCTGAAATTTGTAATAATAATTCCCAATTGGAACACATACATTTTCAAGCCTGTGTTCTTTTGTTTTCCGTCAGTTTCCGCGAGGACCAAAAATGTGAGCTGATTGTAGCGGCTGACTGCAACGCACATCACTTACTGTGGAGAAGTAAGGACACAAACAAAAGGGGTGAGTTATTAACTGAATACTTACTCCAAACCAACTTTAATATTATGAATATTGGGACGGAGCCCACATTTGTTAGCTCTAGGTACCTAACTATCATAGATTTGTATCTATGATAGTTTGAATATTTTGATTGAAAAATAAAAAAAATAATATTCCATACATTGCACAGCCGCCCGTGGCATTCTGTACATTGCCTTGTTATTGTACAGAATACCTGAATTATACATATTGCCCGTAACACTTCCAAATCTGCGCCACTTTGTTGTTCGCAGCGTTCCTTGTATACATTTTTATTTGAGCTGACACCAATTATTAAAAAAAATCCTTTTCCCACTTGAGTAACGAGTCACAAAAATGCTGTGTTATTACCGGGAAATCAGTATTTGCGTCAAGTTAACAATGTGTTTTGTTGTGGATTTGACGAGTTCCAATAATTGGGTTGTTGATGTTTGATTGTGGATTGACGAGCTGTGATTTTTTTCCTGTAGGTATATTTTCTTCGGAGGTTCTTTGCCATATTTTTATCAAAAACCTATAAACGATTAAAAAATGCAACTATGTAGATCAGATTGCCTTTGTCAGCATCATTGGTATTTATCTATTGATATCCTGACACCCGGCATTGACTTTCAATGATATTCCCAGTTAAAGTTTGCAGATTTGCAAAGTACTAACAAAGTAAACAGATTCTGAAATATAAGTTTAAAAACAATACTTAAATAGTTAATGAATTTCGCTATAATGCAGAAAATGCACTCACATACTTATAATAGGGACATAAAGATAGCTCCAAACCTCAGTACGATTAGGTACTCACAACTTACAAAAAAAACTTCACATGACTTCCGAATCTTACAAAAAAAGATATTATAATCCAGTATATGTAATAATTATCTACGTGTGGACCTACATAGGTTTACTAACTGTTCTGTAAAGCTGTAGATACAAAAAAACTTAAATGGAATACATTGAGTTAAGGATATTTTCCAAAACTATTTTAAGCTCCTTCTATCTAGAGATTAGCTATGCCATTTAGTTGATATTGTGAACATTAATCCTACTAATGGTACTGTATTTTTTGATTTTCACCTTGACTTGGAGTTTACGACCGCTGACGTAAGTGCTACAAAGCTCTGAAATTAATATTGTCGAACCCCCTTTTTTTGTGACGCAGGCATAAACTCTGTTTACAGACGACGGCGCCTTTAAGATGCACACCGCCGAACGAACCTCACACCAGGCTCCCGCAAACCTTACGAGCTCCCACAGTGGCTGCCTACTGAGGACCCCGTAACTCTTACGGCGCTTCACGGCATTATATACGCTAAAAAACTCTACAAATACCCTCTAAGCTGATATTGTTGAACCCCTGTTCGTCTAACCCAATTCCCTTTTTTTATAATTCTATATCCGGAGTAATCATAGTTCTTACCACACATTATTTCAAGACAAACCTACCATATATCTGCAAATTTTTATATAAAATCATTAAATTTCAATGAATCATGATAGAGAAAACTGCATTGGAAAACGGTCTTCAACGTAGAAAGGCTGACAGTATAAGCTGTATTAGCCCTCATAGATATGATATTTTATTTTTTTCAAGCTAAACCCCATTTTTTATACTATAAATCAGGAATGGTAATAAAAAAGAAGCATTTTTTACTCTTACAATTTATTTATATCTCATATATATTATAATACAACTTATCAATACCGAAATTATAACAATAAATCATGTACAATGAATGATATAAAAATTACAAAAAAATAACATTACACAAATAAAAAACAACCTTATTCTTAAACTACTATTATAAACACACAATTGAAAGACTAGACCTTCACTGTTAATGTGTAACGTTAATCCGATTCCTCTGGTAGGTCAAAGTTCACGCGTCTAATTTTGGTGATGGTGATGATCGTGCGACGGCTCTGCCTGCACAGAGTAGAGCCCAGTACAGTATGGGGCTGTATGCTGGGGAGCGGGATGACACCGGCGAGAAGGGACTGTACGCTGGGGCGCAGGGTGACGCCGGTGAGATGGGACTGTACGCTAGGGCGCAGGGTGACGCCGGTGAGATGGGGCTGTATACTGGGGCACTGGGTGACGCCGGCAAGATGGGGCTGTGTGCTGGGACAGGCAGCACGGGCTCACACAAGTTCTGCGGATCACCAAACACGACCACATCTGAGAAACAAAATGCAAAGCAATCATTAGCTGAGAAATAAAAATCAAAACGATATCGCGAATAAACAAAGCAAGAAAGTTAATGAAAATACATATTTTAATTAAACACAAAGTATTTAAAAAAAAGTCCTCTTCTATTAAGTTAACAATCCTATGATACCATGTATAAATAATCTAGGTATTTTTTATTTAACCTTTGATCTTTAGTATTGTACTTCACAGTATTACAATCATAAAGTCACAGATATTGGGGGACAATCACCATCATTATCTACTTCGGGAACAATATCAAGAAAACGTCCTTCTTGGAATTTCATTTTCAGTAGTAACTCAAGACTGACGAATTCTGAATAGTTAAAATCAGAGAACTTTATTCGGTAAACTACATACTAGCAAAGACTGATGAGACACTGCAATTTCAATTACCTGAAATAGGAAGCTTCTATTTGTCCTAAGTTATTATACTCGTACTTTGGAATTCGTTTACCGATTATGTCATTAAAACAGAAAGGGGTACTTACCTTTCTATTGAAATGAAACAATGTAGGTATTTAATGAGGTTATTAATGATCTATTATTGTCAAAGGTTTTATTGTTTAAATTGTTTATTTTTCAAGTTTGATATAATGCTGGAAGCACTGTTCAAAGTAATATTAGACAACCTAGTTAACCAAATTTCTTATCAGCGAGTTAAACATGATCGCATTTTTAAAGACATAGTAAATCTAAGTAAAATAATTATGTAGTCATTTATTAACCACTCAGCTTATTATTATCTTGATGTATGTTTTAAGTGTTACTACGCTAACAAATTAAGTACGAAAATAATTATTTGAACCCGACAAGCATTCTGAAAGTGGAAGAACCGGGCTTAGTTATCAGCAAAGAAAATTAATAAAAAAATCTTATTCAAACACCCAATTAAAAGGAAATAAGTAATGATTGTTTAGATGTCGTGTCGATATCGTAAATTTACTCACTTCATATTTAATGAAGAGCTAGAGTATTTTATAAAAAATGTTCTCAAGTAGGTACTAAGCAAGTTACGCAAAAACCAAGTATATTCTTAACTCCACACTGCCTCTTTCCGTAAAGCTCCGTGAACAAGCGTGAACGTGAATATGGATGGTTTTTGAGGCACCTTTTACGCATTCCATGTATATGTTTAGAGTCGAGTCATTATTCACTGATGGGACTTCACGGCGCGAGTTCGAACCATTATTTCACGCCATATCACGGAACAAGTAAACGATCCAGCCAGACGTAAATGACAAAAATTGTGCAATGTTGATGATTTAAACTAATATATTGATGTAAACAGCTGCATAAGTATAATTATTTTTTTAATTTTGGGTTGAAAAATAACAATGTCCTTGAATTTTTGCTTTCGTTATTCGTTAATTATATACATGAACATAATCATATTCATCCTGCCAAATATTTTGACATCGCATAACAAAGCGGCATGTTACCCATTTTTTGCATTTATCATAAATCATATATTTATTTGATTCTTTGGTTTTCACGCACATCACTCATTAAATAAAACAATTTTCAACGGTATAATATTTTAATAGAATTTAAAATCCTTTCTGTAATCCTCCAAAAGGATGCGAAACGTCATAAATAAATAAATCAGCGTATCTCTACCGCTGAAACTTATTTTATTTAATCATATATTTATTTGTGTAGATACATTCAACTTACGCACACAAGAAAATGAATTGCATTACCGCTCCTGTTTTGGTTAAGACACTGATTCCAGGCGTTATTATTCTAATTAATAAACATTATTCTGTATTCATCAGAAGTGAAATTTTGATCAGCGAACCTGGTCCATTCGTCTTAATTTTCCGTCATTTCAACAATATCTTGTATTTTCAATGGCGTTTGTTTACTTTTTTAATGTTTCTATGGATATCTTTGCGGGTTTGGGAATCCTTAAGGAATCTAACATTTTTTGCGAAAGAAAGTATCCTGTTTGTGAATCCAAAGATAATAAACTATGTATAATGCCAAAATCAAATCGAATCCGTTCCGTGCTTTAGCGTAAAAGATTTTAATACTAGTAGGATTATTAAATTAATTAAATTCCACTTATATTAAAGTTCTAATATACAATGACTAAAACATTAAAACAAACAAAACAACTTTAGAATAGTTTTTTTTAATTGTACCTGAAGCTAGTGGGATTTATTTCGCAATGCGGTTTTTTACAGTATTTTAAAAGCATTTAACAATTATAATATTAAGAGCAGATAACAGACACAAAGACAACGAGAACACGATAACAATTTTTCAAGGAAAGCCATAAATATGTCAATGGGTACTTTAAAATCAACAATAAAACTAAATCTATCAAAAAGGTCATCAACAATACTTATCTTATTCATTCATACTTATCTTATTTATATGGATAAGTGCTTACGCCTTCCTTTTTTAATGACATCATTAGTAAACAATTCCAAACTATAATTACTTAAGACAACTAGGAGATTCTTGTCTATGGTAATTGAAATTGCAATGTCCCAACAGTCTTTGATAGTAGTTCCCTGAATAAGGTAGTGTGTTTTCCAGAAAAAATTCTTCCGTTTGATTTGCTACTAAAAATGAAATTTCAAGAAGGACGTTTTGTTGATATTGTTCCCACAGTGGGTGATGACGGTGAGTTCATTCCCTTATTTGTTTTGGTTTTTCTAACTATTTATAATACCCTGCCTTTTTCGAATTGTGACTCTATGAAGTGAAATATTGACGATCAATGGTTACTTACGACTACAAGAAGTTACTTTACTCATCGATGACATTAGATATAAGAAGGCCCTTCTTGATACCGCTGAGCTTATTTCAAATCGTTTTGTACGTTTCACTATATCGTTTTAATTTTATTTTCTCTGCTAACAATATTTTTTGTCATTTTTTTCGCAGAAGTGTTCGTGTTCGGTGACGCGCAAAACTTGTGCGAGGCCGTGCTACCTGTCCCTCCATACAGCCCCATCTTACCGGCATCACCCCGCGCCTCAACATACAGCCCCATCTCGCCGACGTCATCCAGTGCCCCAGCATGCAGCCCCATCTCGCCGGCGTCACCACGCACCCCAACATACAGTCCCATCTCGCTGGCGTCACCCAGCACCCCTGCATACAGCCCCATCTCGCCGGCGACGTCAGCCTGCGCTCTTGCATACAACCCCATCTCGCCGACGTCACCCGACGCTCCAGCATACAGCCTCATTTTGCCGGCGGCGTCACCTTGTGCTCCTGCATACAGCCCTAACTTACCAACATCACCTGACGCCCCTGCATATAGCCCTACTTCGCGTGCGGCGTCACCCTGCGCTCCTGCATACAGCCCCATCTCGCAGAGGTCACCCGACGGCCAAGCATATAGCCCCGTTTTGCCGGCGGCGTCACCCTGCGCTCCAGCATACAGCCCCAACTCGCCGACATCACACAGCACCCCAGGATACAGCCCCATCTCGCCCGCGGCGTCACCCTGCGCCCCAGCATATAGTCCCATCTCGCCGGCGAGGTCACCCTGCACCCCACCCTGCGCCCCAGCATACAGTCCCATCTCGCCGGCGGGGTCACCCTGCGCCCCAGCATACAGCCCCATCTCGCCGGCGGGGTCACCCTGCGCCCCAGCATACAGTCCCATCTCGCCGGCGGGGTCGCCCTGCGACCCAGCATACAGTCCCATCTCGCCCGCGGGGTCACCCTGCGCCCCAGCATACAGCCCCATCTCGCCGGCGGGGTCACCCTGCGCCCCAGCATACAGTCCCATCTCGTCGGCGGCGTCACCCTGCACCCCAGGATACAGCCCTATCTCGCCAGCGACGTCACCCTGCGCTCCAGCATACAGCCCCATCTCGCCGACGGTGTCACCCTGCGCCCCAGCATACAGCCCTATCTCGCCGGCAGCGTCACCCTGCGCCCCAGCATACAGCCCCATTTCACCTGCGACACCCGATACGCGCCCGCGCTCGCCGCCGCTGGGCTCCACTCCGCGCAGACAGAGCCGTTGCAGGTTCATCAGCATCACCAAAATTACGCGACGCGTGAACTTTGACCTACCAGAGGAATCGGATTAACCCTACACATTAATAAGGGAAGTCTATTCAGGAATCTCTTTAACCCAACAAGATTCTATAACTACTATTTGTATAGTGTACGTCCATATTTTATTTATTTCAATAGCTTAAAATTAGGTTAGGTTTATTTTTGTAATTTTTCTTGATTTCTGTTCACAGTTCATCAATTATTTTCTATATTCTATTGTATTATTTTCTATTGTAATGATAAGCTGTAATATAATATACTTAGCTTTAGTCTTGCGCCCCAGCATACAGTCCCATCTCGTCAGCGGGGTCACCCCGCGCCCCATCATACAGCCCCATCTCGCCTGCGGCACCCCACGCCCGCACGCGCTCGCCGCCGCTGGGCTCCACTCCGCGCATACAGAGCCGTCGCATGTTCATCACCAAAATTAGACGAGTGAACTTTGACCTACCAGAGGAATCAGATTAACCTTACACATTAACAAGAGAAGTCTATTCAGCCATTTCTATAACCCAACAAGAGTCTATGTTATATCTACTATTTGTATGACACAGTATGTACATATTCGATGGATCGATATTTTAATTATTTCAATAGCTAATTAGGTTACGTAAATTTTTGTAATTTTTCTTGATTTCTGTTAACAGTGCATCTTTTATATTTCTTTTCTATTGTAATGATAAGTTGTAATATAATAAACTGAGTTATATAATCTTAAGATTATTTTTAGAAATAAATTATTATTTGTACATTTTCTCTTCTTTTTACTATAAAAAATCCTATAATAAAGAAGAGAATGTTTTTTGTTTTTCTGAATATAAAATATCATTATACATAAGAGAATTGGATATATATCTTTACTTATTACATTAACTTTCTTATTATAGATAGAAGACGAAGTGACCTAACTGATGGCGTACTTTTGAGGTAGCATTACGTTAGAGCGAGTAATACTCGTTTTTTAACATTAATTTTACATGGTAAAAATCAATCAAAATACCACCCAATGGGAAACTATGCAAATCTTGCGTTATTTGAGTAATCACTTCTTAGGGAAGGCTCTGTAATGCTTAGGGCATAAATTAATCGACGGTGCTTATAGAGTTAAATTTTCATATAAAATGGATTATCAAATTCACACCGTACGACATATACGTACTGTTCAGATTTTTCATATAGAACCTGCACGATCTGCTCGTTAGAAGTAATAATCTTAATGGAAGTTAATCCCAATCTAGACAACCAAATAGACGGGTAATATTAGGGTAACCGGCTTTACAAAATATCAGCTTATTAGAGTAACAGCGATGATGACCAAATTTTTTTGCATCTATCACGTAGATTATCAAAAAGTATTTTATTCATATTTATTTCGATAAATTATGTCGCGTCTTGGTACCAGCCACGCGCCTCCACTCCCAAGCTTTGACGAGCTTTATCTCTGTAATTTGTTTGTTGATTGACAAGAGAAAAATACGTGTCCAATATTTTTTTAAAATCTAACTGCCGGGCTTAATATAATTTCAGTGCTTTTTAATAGTAACTTTTAATTATGGTGGTTGTTGGATATTGCTAGGGACTATATTGTAAAAGCGTACAAAAAGACCTATAAATGAATTATTGAGTTTGCGGAGTCTGGTAATTGGTTAACTTGGCGAATTATTCCCAATGGACCCTATGCCTCTGACCCCCGCGTGTGGTCCGTTAGGAACCTAAATTCATTTCCAGCTCATCTGCCCCCATGAAAATTAGGCGGGGTCGGATGAGACCAAAAAGTTCCTACATGCCCTCACCTCTAAATTTGCCGTAATGGAACTTTTTAATAAAAGAAAAGTGACAATAAAGAAAAAAATAAAATCTTTACGTAAGTCAAACATTTTAAATATTTGTTATAAATCTTAGAAATTAACTAAATATTAATATTAAAACTAATTAAATAAAAAAAGAATTCACTTTATATTCTAGTGACAAATAAAAATACTCTTTGGCCAATTATTATTACAGCAATAGTAGTATTTAATAATACATAGGTATGTGTATTTAGTCATGTAATGTTTTAAAAAGCACATAATTACTGATAATTTTGGTGGTGGGAATTCACTTAATAATGATGCGAATATCATTATAGAAATGGGGGAAAATTAATGCTGCGAGCTGGTCATCGTTATGTTAAAAAGAGGAAATTAAAGAATAATGCATGCCAATGGAAGTGTGTAAATAGGAGAAAAAAGAAATGCTATGGATCTATTACATTTAGAGTAGTTATATGATTAAGTTTAAAAAAGTAGTTACTATCAAAAATAAAAAAATGATAGTTTTATGTTGCGTCACAAAATCCTGACGACAATTTCGCGATTATATGCTGCACCAATGAATTAAAAAGGACTTTACACCAGTTTGGTGTTTAAGTGGAATACAAGATAAAACCACAAATTTCTTGGAAGGGTGACACAATAAAATGACTAAAGAGGTTTCCAAAAAGAATCCGAATTTAGTGAATATTCTTAATATTTTAAGAAAAGCTGCTGATTTTATTGAAGTGAAATATTATCAAATTATTGAGAACCCAAAAGTGCTCACCCAAAGATCCCAGGAAAATATTTATTCTGAGCGTTTCATACAGTTCGCTCAATAGGAATTTATCAATAGAAATATTACAGTAGGGCACTTACTTGAAATACTACGCTAAATAGTAATTCATATAAAATTTTAATATGTATATTAAAGATAAGTTAGTATTTACTTTAAATATTTTTTTTTTTCGATAAATATCGTTATTTTTTTCTTTAATAAATAGTTTCAACAAGGCATATAATTAGAAGGATGTAGTAACTTTTTGGTCTCATCGGACCCCACCGAATTTTCATGGGGGTAGATGAGCTGGAAATGAATTTAGGTTCCTAACGGACCACACGCGGGGGTCAGAGGCACAGGGTCCATTGGGAATAATTCGCCAAGTTAACCAATTACCAGGCTCCGCAAACTCAATAATTCATATATAGGTCTTTTTGTACGCTTTTACAATATAGTTCCTAGCAATATCCAACAACCACCATAATTAAAAGTTACTATTAAAAAGCACTGAAATTATATTAAGTCCGGCAGTTAGATTTTAAAAAAATATTGGACACGTATTTTTCGATAAATATCGTTATTTTTTTCTTTAATAAATAGTTTCAACAAGGCATATAATTAGAAGGATGTAGTAACTTTTTGGTCTCATCGGACCCCACCGAATTTTCATGGGGGTAGATGGGCTTGAAATTAATTTGAGTTCCCAACGATCCACACGTAGTGTCGGAGGCACGGGGTCCGCTGGGAATAATCCGCAATGACAGACATACCACGGCAGTTTTTGTGACTCGGTGGCTCATATATTATTTTCAATAATGCCTAGTCTATATCTTTGTTCATCGTGATTTCAAGAATGAAGTGCCGTACTAACCACCTAGGTTGCCTGAAATTCAGTGGCTTACCCTTTAGAGTTTAGGCAGATTAGAGTTACTTCATTCCAATCCTCTTCAAAGAAGTCTTTTCCAAACCGAGTGCTCTAATTCGGAACAGAAAGTCTTCTGTACCCTGATCTCTTACTTGTGTGTTTATTTTAACCCTCAATCTCATTCGGCCCCGACCATAATTCCCTATTGTGTATGCTTCCGAAGCAGGATCAAAAGCAATATGTGTTTACATAAGCTACCCTAACGCACTTACCGTTTTCAAGACTACATTATAGTCGGTAGGGTGTAGGTACTCACACAATCGACATTGTATCGTGAACCGTCCTATCATGTCCTATGTCATTAAAACTATGCCAGATAAAGAAGGATGGACGACGCTGACGATAACTTGAAAAGTACAAGCGTCATACGTTGTACCTATAACAATATTTTATATTTCAATTCGCCAATACGTGTATGCTTCACTGATTTCCACTCAAGCATTGTAAGCTGTATTTTATTTTTTTGGCAGTAGTGTCAGCGGCATCCGAATTATTAAGTAGGCTACTCATATTTGCAACTTTCCTACCCACTTTCAAGCTAAATTGCCATAAATAAAGTATATTATAAGCTGATAATGTTAATGTACTTTATATACTAGCTGACTCAGCGAACTTCGTACCTCCCAAAAGTAATAATTTGCAATTAATTAAGCTATAATATCTTTCAAGTTGGATCAAACTGCACACGGTGTGATTTGATTAAAATCGGTTAAGTAGTTTAGGAGTCCCTCCCGGACAAACAACGTGACACGTAATTTATATATATTAAGATATATGCTGCAGGCTGCTTCTGAACATTTTGATTATGATTTAGGATGACCTTATTTTGTAATTGACACTGTAGTTATATATTATTTTGTAAATATTGTTGAGAAAAAGGTCATGTAAATTTTTTAATGAAATATATATACAAGCTGCATATATTTTTTTTGACTAGTGGTAGAACGGCAAAAAGTTATGGTTTACAACCCTAACGTATGTATTTTATTTGCCAAATCATAAAAAAAATTTGGTACTTACTTAAATTTAAAAAAATACAATTAATAATATAAATATAATATTATTACCCTTATATCTTCGTTAAGGTCCTATTGCCAGACATACTAAATATACACAGATCCATAAGCATAAATAAGAATCGGTCGAGTCTACGAAAGAGTTTTTTTACAAACACTGTGACACGAGAATTTTATATGTTAGAAGAGAGAGAGAGAGAGAGAGAGACTTCACTATCTTCAGGGTATGACTATGACGTCATTAGAAGAATCATATGTACTTTTCTCGAAAATGTTTCCATTAAAGGGCGCAGTATGACGGCTAATTGATAAATCTTTCCTGACGCTAAAAGCAAAACTATGTTGCGTCGGTAATCCCATACTTACTTAACGTGACATTTTGGACTTGCTTTAACGAAAATTCTCTTCACGTCACATACTCAAGTAATAATGCCATGCAACTCGTATTTTAGCGAAAAAAAATATTTCGTGTGAATGTATAAATAATATACATGCAAATGAAATGAATGTGTGTATGTGTAATGTAGAATTGTTTTATTCTAGCGGTTTTATGGCTAAGTAAAAATATAATAAACATGGAAAAACATACTTATATCAAGAAACTTAACTTAAATTGTTTAAAAATATACTTAATTTTTCACAAAATGTAACAAAGATTTTTCATTGAAATTACTCTGGCAATATCCCCTTACGTATACAACAATCAAAAAAAGTAAATCATGATGAAATAATTTATTAAAAAAAAATTAGTATTGATTCTTTTAAAAATAAATCTATTAGTGATTTTATAAATACTTATTTGGTTAAAAAGGGTCGAATTGAATAGACTGTTCAGTCAGTTTTGTTACTCTTGTTTAATGTAATTTTTGTCATGGTAAATAATGAAAAAAAAACCGTATAATTT